AAAGGGAGGGGTGCGGGGCGGGGAGGAGGGGTGGAGGAGGGAGAGGAGTCAGGGAGGAAGGGCACTCCGGCTTCGAGGGAGGGTGCTCGCGAGCGCCAAGGGAGGAGCCGGGGGAAAGGTGGGGCGCGGGGCGGGGTGGGTGAGGACTTGGGGGAACGAGAAGGGGCGTGTTCGGGGAGCGGAGCCACTGCGTGCGGGGCCGTCTTTGAATGGCCAGTGCCCGCGGGAGTGTGCGCCGCGCTCGCGTCGTGGGATCCAGTCTCCCCGTCGGTTCGTGGGGTCGGTCCGGCGAACTGCGGCCCCGCCCCGCTCTCCACCCCGATCCCACCCAGATCCACTCTGACCCACACTCCCTGGCCCCCAGGTCCCGAGGACCTGATCTGAGACCCGCCGCGGGAGCCGGGTGCCTCGGGGCCGTAAAGAGAGAGGTCGAAAGAGGCAGGGCTGGGCCTCTGTGCCTACCACTAATGGGCCCTTCCAAGTAGAAAGTGGGGATGTGGGGGTTTTGACTCAGGTCCCCAGGAGAAGGCAGGGCTGGAGAGGAGTCGCTGGGAGAAGGGCTGGGCGGAGACCGAGGGCGGGGTCCAGGGGGCTGCCAGGAGGGGGAGTTCTTTGCTCAGGCCCCCCTACAGCGCTGGAAAGCTCCCCCAGTCAGGTGTGCAGGGGTGCCCTTGGCCCTCAGGTCCCGCTCCTGGCTGTCCCTGGCCGAGGTTACCGTGTTTCTCCCGCCTTGCCACCTGGGCACCTCGACTTCATCTGAGAGCTCCCCACATCCCGTCCTGAGCCAAAGTGCCGGCTGGTTACTGCAGGCACCCTCTCCCTAATCTCTCCCTCCAATCTGCTCTGGGTTCCAGCTTCCTCTCTCCCACCCCCTTTGGGGGAAAGGACGATTCTGTCAACCAAAGTGCAGCCTTATCAGCAGTGGTTGGAATCCAGAGCTGGGGGTTGGGGGTGGACGGCCTTTGGAGCACAGAGCAAGGAGCCCTTCCACGCCTCATCACAAGGAGGGGCTATGGGGACGGAGAAGCATGGCGCTCGGCAGGGGCGCCATCAAATTTGTTCATGTTTAGGACAGGAGGAGAAACAGG